TTAATATTATTTGCAATTTGCTTCACTTTTTTTCTTAAAGCTGGAAGAAATTTTTTAGGGCGAAATAATTTGAGTACCTTTGAGAACTAATTTGGAAATGTCTATTAAAAGTATTCTTTAACTTTCATTTCTACATGTGGAGAGTTTACCTATTTATGCATATAAGAGGTTACACAAATAAAATATATCCTGAGAAGTTTCTCTTTGGATCTTTTTTGAGCTTTTTGAATTATTTGAAGTCAAGTATTTTTTTTTTTAAGGTGTGGATTAATCATGACTTCATTTGCATAGATTGTTAAGTTCTGGGGAAAACAAAATCTAGTTTATTATGCATTTATATTCCCTTGCAGCATCTTCTATATAATTTTCTTAAAGAATGGATTAAGTTCTACTCTTTAGCTATATATGCTATCCTCTGGAAAACATAATGCAAAAATAGATTTTACAAATGACCTTTTTGACCTAAGCATCTTGCTAAACCTACACTTAGAGACGGCTCCTTCACTTTTCCAAAACAAAGAGGCTTTGCTTTTCTTTGCCATATAAAAACTCTTATTAGCATAAGCTGTATGTATTTCATTTATCCAGTCAACACATTCACAGCTTACCCTTCTCATATCTTCTGTATGTTTTCTTACTTTTATTTATTCTAATAATTTAATCTGATAACAATATTCACTTAATTCATCAAAAAAAGATTTCTTGAGTACCTACTATATACAAGCTACTTTTTCAGGTACTAGATATATAGTAGCAACTAGATGAAAATTTTAAAAACTCCTTCATCATAGAATTTAGGTCTAGTAAACAAGATAAATAAGTAATTGTAGGTTAAATAGAGAGTGTTAAGTGCTAAGAAGAAGAAACAAAGAAGAGAGTATGTGAAACGTGGGGGCTATTAAAACTTTGGATGGGTTGACCAAGGGAGACTTCACTGTAAAGGAAATTTTTGAAAAAGATTTGAAGTAAGGAAGTGAGCCATTCAGCCACCAGGAGAAGAGAGCAGCCAGGAGAGCAGTAAGACAGTGTGGGTGGGAGTGTCGGGTCACAGAGTTACACAGGGAAAGAAGTCGGAGAGCTGATAGAGAGCGGGATTAGGTAACAAATGTTTGTTTGGATTACTTAATTATCTTTCTTTATTCTGTAGTTTTTCTGAGATTTATGTTTCTGTTCTTTCTAGCTCTGTACAGAATTACTTGCTCTTATAAATTTAATAAGCAGTTTAAAAAATCTGCCATTGTTAACCATTTTTGAGTGATAATAAATATCAATTAATTAGTCGAAGATTTGTGTTTGTGGGAAAACACATGATCTCGTTTTTCTACTTGCCATTTAATTCCATGATTTTTTTTTAATGTAATATCATTGCTTTTTGGGCTGCGGATGTTTATCACTATTCTGATAAATGTGATTACATTTCAGTTGCCTAGTACTGCTTTATGTAATATTCTCCCTGTCATTTTCTAGTTTTTCTTGCAAAATCCTAAATTTCTGCCACTGAAGCACCATTTTAGATTAATAGCTTTCTTCGGCATCTTTTAAAAAATTGACCCAATTAAAAAAAAAAGAACAGACCTAAACTCAAGAGTAATTACTTTCCTAGGATTTCTTCCAGACTTTTATTTTCTCTGGCTCTCCATTCAAAGTAAGTTATTTGCTTTTATAAAATGACCAGGAGTCTACACAAGTAAATTAAACCTAATTGTGGGATGTCAGGATATTTAACTCAAATGGACTCAAATGAATTGAAGAGTTAAAGTTAGTATTTATAGTATGTTAGAATAGACATTTGAAGTTAAAAGATTTTACTGGTTAACTTCCCCCACTGAATAGTTGTGTAGTTCTTCCTGAACTTCAGTTTCCTTGTCTGTAAATGGGAATCAAATTGCCTACTTCAGAGGCTCACTAATAGATTGTTTTGAGATTATAATTGAATAATATATGTGGACACTCTCAAGAAAGTGACTTAGGGCAATTCAATGTAAGTATTGTTCTGTATTCTATGAGGCCACCTATGCTTAGTTTTAAAATTTTGTTAAATTTTAATATTCATTGCCTTTTTTATGTCTGGATAATTTCCAAAGTTTGATTTTTTTTTTTTTTTTTTTTGGACTGGAGATCCCTTCAGTAGATCTTTTGTGAAACAGCTTCTACAATGTAAATAAACAAGTCTTGGCCTTCACAGTGCCATGGTGATTTTATCTCAGTTGCAGTGACTTCTGGCATGTACCTCAATAAGAATTTATTTGCCCTCACTTGGATGACAGTTGTCAGCAATTAGAAACAGGCTTGGTTGGAGCTCTTTAGTTTCATTAAACCTTTATTAGAGAGCACCCAGAAGCAGCAGTGCACTACTACCTCACCAACATTCTGCAGCCTATCTAGGAAATAAAAACTTTAGAGAACCTTTAGTCAAAAGCCTATGAAGCACTAATTAAGGGGAAATAATTATACCAGCATGTTGGCTCAGCAGTGCGAGGCACCATAAAGCTTTGAGGAGGGGCTCCCAGAAGTGCGTATTGCTGCTGAGTATGGAGTATCCAAGGCACCCGTAACAACTTTTGTCTTAAGTTTTTAAAATTTGAAAATCAGAATAGAGCAGTGGTTCCCAGACTTTGTTACACATTAGTCACCTGGGGCTTTTACAAATCTTATGCCCAGATAATATCTTACACTAATTATAAATTAGAATGTTTGGGAGTTGGAGCCAGGCATCAGTAGTTTTTAAAGATGTGCAGATGATACCAATGTGGAGCTAACTTAGGGAACCACAGGAATATGTGGCTCTGGCCTTTGTTCTTTTACTACCTATTGCTGTTTCTCAGCCTTTAGCATCATTAGTGGGAGTCTGATAATCCTATCACTAAAAATATTTGAAAATAGTTGATGTCCTGTAAGCAGGTTTGTGGTCTACAGTTTTTAAAAAGTATATGCTATTTTACGTGGTCTTATGTTGCTTTGAACTTTGTTTCACTACTGTCACCTTCTAGATATACTTATGTTACTTTTTCCCATTTACATGAATAACTCCTCGACAGCTTTAAATAACATTATGCCTTTGTTATTTAAGACCAGAATAAAATAATGTCTGTCGGTATTAACTAGTTAGGAGTTTTGTTTCTTTGTTTCATTTATAATGGCTGTTTTCAGATAAAGGGCTGACAGCCAATTTGTTTTTCCAAATCCATTTTTATTTTTCTCCAGTCTAGTAATGAACTAAATTTATGAAATTGGTATGAGTCTGAATAAATCAACTGCTTAACTATATCAAAGCCACATTAATATTTACTATTAATAATAGATGATATATATCTGAGACAAAAACTATACCTGTGGCATTACTAACCATGATATCATATGTGAATAAGCATTTTCCCAAATATCATGGTTTATTAAGTCAGTCTCAATGTAGCCTAGTAAAAAAACTAGAATTTTAAGAGTACAAAGGGGAACTTCTATGTGGCTTTGTTCATAATGTTGACAAAAGCTAAAGTTTTGGCTGTAGATCCTTGAACATTTGCCTAAGACTTGACATAAATTCAGGTGGTCACCATATTATCTTAAAAACACTAGAAAATTACCCAAAGAACACAAAAAGAACAGTTTAAAAATAAATTTTATTTTGATTTATTAGAAAATTTATCTTTCATATTTCATGTGAAATGTGTGTGTGAAAAAAATGCAGAATGTGAATTGATGCTCTGTGAATTTTTTGTTTGTCATTTAAAATTAAAGAATATGACCCTATTGTCTCTGGTGCTATCAGAGTATTATAAATTATGGAAATTACTACAGTGCAAATATTTGGCTTAATTCATAACATTAGTCATCCAATTTTTGTTTTGAGTCTTTTGCTTTTCTCATTTCACATTTTTGTTTTGTTTTCATCCATCATTTTGTCTTATCATCTTCAATTCTAGAGCAACCTGACAACAATAATGATACTACTGAATTGGGCATCCTTGTCATTCCTGAGATTAGTGTCACAAATGTGGCCGGAGAGAGAACCGGGAATGGGGAAAAAGGCAGAACACTAGGAGAAATTGATGCTCAGCATATACAGGGTGTGCAGGAAACAGCCACAGATCCTAGAACTGAGAGCAAAGGCTTGCCAGAGATCAGGAGGCAAAAATCTGTAAGAAAAATGATGGAGGATGGAATAAACTCACCTGGCAGAGTGCAGTTTTAGCAGAGCACTTTATAGCTGCACTCCAAGGTATCTTAAGGCAAAGGGCCACTGATGCATGCTAAGCAGCAGTTGCACAGTCACAAAAATTTTGCATGTAATCTAATCCAAATGCATGAATTATGCACCACATTTCTCAATGACTCTTAATGCTCTTTGGAATGATTATACCTATATTGTCTTTTAGTAAATTGTTATGAAAACTGAGGCAGAAAATTCCTTCTAAAATAGTTTTCTGCTTATGTTTGGAGTTCTAAAATTACTTTTTCAGCTTTGTCTTTTTGCCATCTTTGATATGAAGGGTAATGTGTATAGAATTTTATATTTGAGCTTGTGATATTTATAGTCTAGATTTTTGAATTTGATAAAATAATCTACAGTATAGAGTGCAACCTTCTAAAAAAGTCTTTAAAGTATTCTAATACGAATTTTTTAAAAGTTCCTTGGTAAAAGCTTTGATTTTATACTGCTTTGCTACTGAAGGAGAGTTCACCCCTAGTTTTACTGTGTGATAATATTTCTAATTGTTTCTTATCTTTCGCATGAATAGGAGAATTCTTTCTAAAAACATAATGGGGTATGGTTTATGGCATGCTTGTTGTTTAATACACTATAAATTACCGTCATTTAATTACAATGAACTATTTTTCACATTTTTATAATGTTTTGATTTATCCTTTGATTTTCTATAATCTGTTGCTTTATAAAATTATGCTAAAGCTTTATTTAAAGTATAACTGATTTGGTGTTAATCATTTAAAAAGATTGCTTAAAATATTTAATGTTAATTAATCTTTGTCATTTCTTTGTTTAGGAAATACAGAATTAACAGGTCAAGAAGAACTGATGGAGATATCTGAAGTTGACGAGGGATTTTATTCCAGGGCTGCGTCTAGTACCAGCCAGTCGGGTTTATCAAACAGTAGTCACAATTGTAGTAACAAGACAAGTATAGGAAAGAACCAGAGACGGTCAGGAGGAAGCAAAACTGGAGGAAAAGAAAAAGAAACTACAGGGGAATCTTGCAAAGATCACTTTGCTCGAAAACAAACTCAGAGAGCCCAAAGTGAGAATCTTGAGCTTCTCTCTTTGAAGAGACTTACTCTAACAACCAGCCAATCCCTACCTAAGCCTAGTAGCCATGGTTTGGCTAAAACCGCAGCGACTGTATTTAGTAAATCCTTTGAACAAGTCAGTGGTGTCACAGTCCCACATAACCCGTCATCTGCTGTTGGTTGTGGGGCTGGGACAGATGCCAATAGGTTTTCAGCCTGTAGTCTCCAAGAAGAAAAGCTTATTTACGTTTCAGAAAGAACTGAACTTCCAATGAAGCATCAATCAGGTCAGCAGAGACCTCCTAGTATTAGCATTACTCTGTCCACAGATTAATTAGTAACGTATTTTTCTCCCATAACCCAGTGAACCCAGAAATACAACTTTGCTTCTTTATGAAAGTACCCTGGGTCTTTCATCCGTGTTCCTGACAGGAGCCCTGATGTCTTAAATTCTGAAGGCTCCCCTGACTTTATGAAGGGAAGATTGTCTAGGTTGCAGTAAGTTGAAATATGGTTTTTTTTATTTCTTGATTAAGATTTTTTCCCCTTGGTTTGAGTCTTTTTTTCCCCCTTCTTATTTGTTATTATTGCCCTAAGATTATCAGTGACAATAAATTTTGACAGGTTGTCTGATCAAGTTGGTTATGTCTCATGTGAGGTTATAAGGTAGTTTTTCTTGTTTTGGTTTGGGTTTTTAATAGCTCCTATTTTGGTGGCTGTGTGTTTGACCTTCAGAGTCAAAGGGAGTCTCCATGTATGGGAACTGTTTTATAGAGGATGGGACAGAGGCACAACTCCAGGAATTCTCCAGCTCCTGGTCAGGAAGCCAATCTGAAAAACAGGCGTGTGGAAACACAAAAATGATGTGTATGAAAAGCACCTGATGAAAATATTAGTAAGCAGATCATCTTTATGATTAGAACAATTTGCTCAAAGCACTGGAAAATGCCTGGTAACCCAGTACCTAGAATATTATACGATTCCAGGGGATGGGTAGAGGCATTTCTGTTGTTATCTCTGAAACATTTTTATATCAAAAATCAGATTGCTGGTAGGTGTGTTGTTTTGAAGTGTTTGGATTTAGCAGGTGAAGATCCCTTTCAATTATTAAGGTATAATAGGTCATAAAGCTGATTTACCCTACTGCTGTACTTTAGAAATCCTAGTTAGTTTGGACTCCTATAATTCAGAGCATACGTCATTGGAAGACTTCCTGGAAATCAATGTAAATCTTGCAACACAGCTCTCAAGATACCACTGTGTAATATGGAATTGTTTGTATGCAAATGCATTTTTCATCTATAAAATGTCATGAAAGAAAATAAAGATAGTAAAATATGGACAAAGGACATTTATATATTAACTAATTTAGAGTTGTTTATGTTTGTGTTCTTAAATTTAAAATACGAAAAAAAAGAAATGTCTTTCTTGTTTGTGAATAGACCTATTTAAAATATCTTAGTATGATATCAAAAGAATAATCAATTTAGTTACCTCCCAACTAAAAATTAAAAATAAAAAAGATGATATAGCAGAAGTTGAGACAAACTTGTATGTATCTGTATGTGACCTCTAGATGGAAATAAAAGTTTAGTGTTTGCTAGCAGTGGTCCTTTTGGCTATCGTTGGGGTTCCCTTGTAAAGTAAGTGTACTTAAGTCATCATTCAGAGAGAGAGCAGGGCTGAGGCTGAGTCAGTTGACTGTTGAGGAAGTCCTAAGGAGCTGTCCGGTTGGCTCTTTCACTGTGAGTACACAGCGGTTTCCTTCTTCATAGTCCCTCTCTGTGGTCACCAAGAGAGCATGCTAGTGTTTTCCTCTTGTACCTGCTTATGCAGAGCTCAGATATGTGAAAAATTTGTACGCTTTGAAGGCCGCCAAAGCATTTATACTCTGAACATAGTTTTGACCGCAATTGCTTTGGCTACCACTTTAAATTGAATTCTTCAAAAAGCATGAACTGGTTTTCATTCATTAGCCCTGATTACAATGTGGTTTTTGACATAAATGAATTTGATTTTTTTTTTAAGCTCCAGTAACAGAATGGAATAAGATCTGTTGCCATAAATTGTAGTTAAGAACTGTAAGGCAATCAGGCAGTGAAACTTGATATGGTATTAACTTAATGGGAACCCTGTATACAGTTTAAAATATTTGTAAAATGTCACTGTGAATTTACAGATGTCTTTTTATCATTCTTTACCAATGAATTTCCCCTGTGCATAGTTATTAATAGTGTGGGTATTATTAAAAACTAATTTGTAAGATTGGCATTTTAAGCAAGTTGAGGTGCTTAGGAAACATTGTAGAATAAGTTTGAGGAAATGTTAGCTGACACAGTTGAGAGATCAGATTTTCATGTTCTACCACTGTAATGGAACCTCATTTGGGTATTCTTCTAGACCTTTGCTAGCTGTGTGGTCTGAGGACCAGTAAATAGGATTGGCATTATGTGGTATCTTGTTAAAAATGCAGAATTTCAGTGCCACTCTAGGTCTACTAAATTAGAATTTGCATTCTTAACAAGGTTCCCAAGTGATTGTTATGAGAAGAATGTATCAGAGTGCAAACAAATTACTTGTCTGATATGTAGAACTACCAGTGGTCTCACAGCTCTAGATCAAATGTGTCAGACACTAGGTCATTATAATCTTCATTGGTTTTGACAGCTAATTAATTAGTTTATTAATATTGACATATGGCTTCTTAAGTATTTGAATTCTAAATTGCTAATGATCCTTATTTTTGCAATAAAAAATGTAACAGTTTATATTTTTCTTGTTAACTATAAATGGAATCAGAGCTGCAAATACCTGAAATTTTAAGTATGAAAAGGGGTGCTACCCTTTTATATACTGCACAACAAACTTGCATTTGTATATTCTTTAAAAAATATCTCTGAAGGCTTACTCAGTGAAATGGTTCTGATTTTTTGCTTCAAATGATTTGCACTAATTGATTTTCTGGAGAGTGGAGTTATGTTAACAAAATTCTTTTATAGTTCCTTTGATACTATTTCAAATAAGGATTACACATTGAAAGTTTTTATAGAAATTATGAAAATTGGATAATCTTAGCTATGGTAACAATGACTATTATCCATACTACTTTCTCCCCACTCAACTTTCAAATTTTAAAGTTGGGGTAGCTTTTGTAGGTCACTTTCTTATGAAGATGCTGATGGTCACAGACCTCCTAAGTATCCAGAATAATATTTTTATCATGAGAAGGATTCCACACACAATTGGGGTCTTGCACCCTATATTTCAGAGGATCTGAACAGAAATTGTGGCTCCATTGCACGTTTTAAATCTCTATAGATTCTTGAAATCACCCAACCTCTCACTTTTGAAAACCCAACGGCCTGGAGTATTCTGGTGAAATTGGAGCCAGCACTAGCTTTTTGGAATCCAAGTGGGGAGAGAAACAAAGTAGACTTTTCAAGGGACTGTCCCAGAGTACCCAGGGCAAATGTCTTCCCTTCCCTTCCTGAAGCCACAGGAAAGCACCCTGGAGTCCTTTGTATACCACTATGGAAATTTTTAAGGCAAGCTCTCTAGACTTGAAGAGTTGGAATTCTCAGCATCTAAATGATGACTGAAGTTTGTTTTGAAAAAGCAATATTTCATTGCCCTTTTCAACTGTGAAGCAACTGCTGAGCAAATATTACTCATTTTTTTAAAAAAAGTTGAATTAAAGGGAAATATATTTTTAAAACCAAAATAGATCAAAATGATCCCAGTTTTAAGGGATTTTGCCTATTTTGGAAGAATAAAACTAAAATGTTAAAACTGTTGAATTATGGAGAACAGATGTAGTCCGAGACATAATTTTAAACAAATATTTAAAATAAGGCAGTTAACATTTGCGTCTAGGCACAATAAATCTATATTAAAGGGAAGCACATCAAGGAAATATATATATGTTGAATAATGTAACTGAAAAATATTTTTTAAAAACCACTTAAAAAGAAAAATAATTTGATGGGTACTTAAAGCATTGTAGATATAAATTAATGTATAATAGTGTCTTCCCAGTCTTTGTATGAAAAATTAAAACTCTCTAGTCCTTTAATGAGCATGAATTCATACTTCTAGATTTGTTGCTTAATAAAATTATACTCACTACTTTGACTTATTCAGATTTATGTTTACTATTGTTAAATTCTTATCAGAGAGCGTAAATATATTGTTTTCTATACTTTGTAACTTGTGCATATCTAAAGAAACTAACAGTGAACATTTTGGGAGATGTTTTTGTGTTTTTTTATAGTAGAGTTTTAGAGTACCTGTGTCTTAATAGGAAGTTTTTACCATAAACCCAAGATTTTATTTCACGTATTGTTGCTTTCTCTTATATGGAGCTTATTGTGTACCTCTTACCTTTATTTCTAATCATTTGGTGATACTAATCTTTTCATAGTAAATATATTTGTTTCTAATTATATTCCTAGAGTTTACATTCCTAAAGAATAAACTCTGACTTTGGATATTTTTATGTGTTCCCTACCTTCTTAAGGCTATGGAAATAAACTGGAGTTTAGTTTTTTGAATTTTTGTATATTTGCGTAAATGTTCTCCATATGCAGTACTTTATACCACAAGTGTTGCCTCTTGTTTTATTGAAATAAAAACTGAAAAAAATATTTTTTCCAGATCAGTTTACTCATTTAAAAAATTGTTATAAAAATTTGCAGAAGTTATGATATGAAGGAACAGAGTAAAGGAGGAAGACTTAGGTGAGTTGAGCCATTGAGAGCTTTTGGGGGTAAGTGATAAGACAATGACCTCATTCCTGGCTTTGTGCTTTATATGTCATAGGGCTGAGGAGTATGACAGGTCCACTCGTATTTATCCAAAGATGAAGATGAGCTCTATGGGCCATGCACCAGTGGCGGATTATTTGTCATATCAGAAGCACAGGCAAATTTAGGTAACATCACTCTGTCCTTCTAACTTTAGAATCTTTATTGCCAGGTGTGGTGAGTAGTAGTCCCGACTACTCTGGAGGTTCACTTGAGCCCGGGAATTTGAGACCAGCCCGGGCAATATAACGATATTTTATCTCTTAAAAAGAAAAAAAAAAAAAGAAGAAGAAGAAGAAAGAGTCTATATCTTTGAGTACAGAGATCATATGCCCCTAGTACCTAGATAGGACTTTGTGCATGGTAGGTATCTAGACATTTAGTGAATACATGAGTTAGGTTGATGTTAGCTTTGGAAAAGAATCAAGGATAAAGTCTTCAGTGTTTTCTTTAACAGTACAATTTTAGAATTTTGTTTGTTGGCTTTAGGAAATCTCAGTGGCATTACATGAATTGCATTATATCATGCACTTAGAAAAAAGAACCTATGGCTGGGCGCGGTGGCTCACGCCTGTAATCCCAGCACTTTGGAAGGCTGAGGTGGCGGTGGATCACCTGAAGTCGGGAGTTCAAGACCAATCCGACCAACATGGCGAAACCCCATCTCTACTAAAAATAAAATTAGCTGGGTGTGGTGGCGGGCACCTGTAGTCCCAGCTAATCAGGAGGCTGAGGCAGGAGAATTGCTTGAATCTGGGAGGTGGAGGCTGCAGTGAGCTGAGATCATGCCACTGTACTCCAGCCTGGGCAACAGAGTGAGACTCTATCTCAAAAAAACAAGCAAACAAACAAAAAAAAACAAAATGGAAAAAAGAGCCTATTAGACCCTTGAAAAAATTCCTGGCTTGTAGTTGATTATATGTTTGGTTAATTCCATTTCATCTAAGGAGCTAAGTAATTTAGGAAATGTGTTCTTAACTACTCTTAGAAGGGTATTTGTAGAGAACCAGAGTGGTGATTTTGTAAGCAGTATTTTGTCCTATGCAATATGCACTCTTCCAGTAACTCCAGTAGTCCACATAGTTGACTCACCTCCTACAACCTTTGTTAATACCAAGATAACTGTTTTATAATTGTAAAGAAAGATTTTTTACAAGCAATTGTAGTTATTTTATTATTTTCTTTATATTATTGTGATAGTAGTGACAGCTAGTATGTGTAATTAAAATGATCATCTTATCCTCAAAATCATCCTATAAAGTGCATAGAATCCCCATTTTACAGAAGAGGAAACTGAAGCTCTCGATAGGGTAGAGGACTTGGCTAAGGTCACCTAGCTGCTGAGTGGCAAAACTAGGCCTTGAACACAGATCTTAGGACTCTCACTTTTATATCGCTTGGTAAAAGAAGGTACTAATTAAATCCTACCTAATGGAGATGTATTTAAAATTCACTCACCCCATCTGTCTTATAGGTGATAGTTGTAAGGTAAGATAAAATCAAAGTGTTCTAAAACTAAATCATAATACATTTTACAGAATTAGAGATAATTGTGTTTTAGTGGTCAAACAATACTGGTTATTCTGTTAGTGAAAGCATGGTAAAATGCAAATTAAAATAAGATTTCTTTCTTTTTTTTCCTGTCAGATTGATAAAGATGAAGAAGTTTGATTCTAGTATTGACATTGGTATGGGGAAATCATTAGTCACTGAGATGATTAGCAGGACTGTAAATTGGTACAAATGAATTGGTAGGCAGTTCAACAGGATCTATCAGACTTTAAAGTGCACCTCATACCCTCTGAAACAACAATCTTACTATTCTATATTCCATTCTCTGTATTCTACTGAAAATTTAGCACAAATACATAAACATAAGCATGCAAGGTATTCATTGCAGAATTGCTTGTAATAGCAAAAACAAGCCAGCAAATCTAAATGTCTATTATTAGAGGAATAGATAAATTATGGTACATACATATAGTGGAATATGATGTAGCCATTAAAAAGAATGCAGATCTGTATGTGATGATTTAGACTGATTATATATTGTATGATCTCACTTGCTTTGTAAATGTGTGCAGTAGTTAAATATGAGTGTGTGTATGTGTATAATACACACTTATGTTTGCTAGTATGGGGGAGGAGAGCATTGTGTCTCAAAGTGTGGTCTAAAGACAGCCTGCATTAGGAAATTTTTTTTTTTTAATGGAGATTCCTGGGCTTTGTGCTAATTTCCCTGAATCAGAATCACTGTGAGTAAAACATGGAAACCTGTATTTCTAACAGGTTCCTCAGTTGATGGCTTATACAAATGTAAAATATAGTCTAATAGCTGACAGCAATGAATTGGATATCTGGTAGTGGATTGTAGTTAGAAAGGGCAAACTTCTTGAAGAGATCTTGTATTTTAAATGAGGCCTACCTAAGATAAAGCCAGTTGATTAACATTATCAACATAGACCTGTTAATGAAGGTGAATTGGCCTGACATAGAAAAATGATTCTACCGTACAGGAGTACACACCAATTAAATGAGCAAGCCTTTTAAAAAATCCTTGTTGAACTTCCCAAATATCAGATGACCTGTTAATAAAGCACAATTAAATAATAGGACTTATTGTGGTAAGAGAAAGTACCACCTTGATTTGATTAACTGTGTGTCAGAACAAGAAAGTAAGATTATTTGTAGGGCTTTGGGATCTATGTTCAAATGGTTTAAGGTATGTCTGTCAAGGCAGGGAAATGATTGGGATTAGCAAAGTTGATAGTTCAGGATTAGTGGACACAGCAAGCAAGGGTCTTGAAGATTCCTGGTAAGTCAACTGTTGTTTAAGAAACAAGCTGTTTGCCCAGGTGAGCAGGGCTTCACCTGTAGGAATTGTTTTCAACCTTAGGAATTTCCTCGACAAACAACAACAAAAAATAGGGGTTGTTCTTGTTTTTATTTGCTTTGTTTTGTTTATAATCTTATCTTTTCTGGGCAAAGATTTCCTGGAATAAACAACTAAGTTATGTTGACATACATGGGCTACAGTCTTATCCAAGCTGTACTGACACTGATAGATTCAGTTTGCTTTTGTTAGTTCTCTCTGTTCAAAGATTGTAAGTCAATATTATGTGTACAGCAATTGACAGGTCATAAGTACTGCATGCTAACTGCTTGGACCACTGGAGCCCCAACAATTGATGGATCTTTGGTGACTTTTTAGTGTTCTGCTGAAGATCTCAAAGATTTCTTTTGAAGCTTCTTGACCTCTGTAACACTTGGTTCACACTTGTGAAGTGTTCTAATATAATCCACATCACACTGTGCTGTGACTTGTCTTTCTTATATCTGTCTCCCTCACTAGACCACAGCCCTGTGGGAATATAATATAACTACTACGTAATGGTGAATAAAGATTTGTTTTACTAGATAGAATATAAATCAAATCCAGGAAATCAGTGACAGCATAGGAGAGACTGTTGCTTCTCTTCCATTCAATAGAAGTCTTTGAAACTCCTTTTATTCTCTAATATTCTTCATGGAGATGAAGATGAAAGTTGTAAAACTTTGATTATTTTAAGCGTGCCTGCATAAAAGTTTTTTGAGAAGTAAATTATGCATCACATTTCTCTTTAGTTAGAGTATGAATGGTGTGAAGAATTTTCTGGGCTAATGTTTGACATTTATTATTCACTCCTGTATATTTGTGGTGAGTATGAATGGCATCTGGACTAATCAGAAAACAATGTAGGAAAGGCCTAACTTCAACACTGTGAGTTCTCACTCCTTGTCTCACTTGCTTCCTTTTGTAGAAACTACAAGTATATTTAACTTTTGTATCCTCGATCCACTACTACCTACTGAGGCCTGTCGTGCATTTATTTTTAAACTTTTACTCTCTTCATTTAGCCAACATATTTCTACTACTGTGTTGCCTGCTGTGCTGTGTCATTTTCTACAAACATTTTCATCTCCAAATCCCTTGAAATGAAACCCTCTGGAAGAGCATCACCACTTTTTCTTCTTCTATTCTAATTCCCCTCTAGTTTCCCTTCTAGTTTAAGACTTTTGTTTCAATATTTATCCTTTCCTTAAGCCTTTTAATTCATTTATATCCACCAAGTTGAATTTGATGAGGCAAGATATGTTTGAAAGAAGGACAAACCCAACAAGCGAGCAAACCCATGAATACATGTACAACAGGAAATAATATACATTTCCCAGTTCCCTGAAGCGGGTAAAATTGAGACTGATTATACAAGCAGTATTGCACAGCATGCTGATACTAGCTCAACATAGTCTACAGTGTTTCAGCTTCACTCAGAGATAGTTCTGGAGGACAGTGAGGAAATGAACTTTTCCAGTGAGAATAAATATGAGCACTATTTCTAGTCTGCTTTGCACCGAAAGTACAGATCACCATTTATAACTGGCCAGGTGACTGGAAACACGAACATAATAAGATTGGAGGATGAGTGATAAAAAATGGGAGCTAAACATATTGGACTTCTTAAAATAGGCTCAAAATGCAAGAATAATTGTTTCCTACAAACATTAAACAAAGGCCCTATGGTGAAGGAGGTGCTAAATAATCAGATGGTCAGGATGACTTTGAGGGTATCAGTAAATCTGTTTGGTATTCTAGCCCTTGTTCAACCAGTTTATGAGCAAAGCTGCTATACTGGAAGGATAGGGCTACACATGGACTTCAACAATAAAGGCCTCCTTTCATCAAGGCTGTCTTTATTACTGCCCAGAGCCAAATTGGCCAGCAGCAGTGCCCATCCTAAGATATAACATCTGAGGGTGACCAGATAGTGGCAGATTGATTATATCAAATATTTTCTTTCATGAAGAGACAACTATTTGTCCTCATGGAATAGAGCCTTACTCTGAATCTGGGTTTAGGTTTGCCTTCCCTAAGCACCATGCTTCTGTGTGCAATACTAAGCTTCCTGTTCACCACTATGATTTTCCCCAAAATATTGCTTCTAAGAAACTTATTTTACAATGTAATAAGTGAGGTAGAGGTAGAATTACATTTTCAGTCATGGGAGACTAGGTAATTAACATCAAAATCTCCATTGGCAACTAGATAATCTAGCAAAAACTCTTTAAAACATGAAAATCTAGGCCAGGCGTGGTGGCTCATGCCTGTAATCCCAGCACTTTGGGAAGCCGAGGTGGGCGGATCACCCGAGGTCAGAAGTTCGAGACCAGCCTGGCCAACATGGTGAAAGCCTGTCTCTACTAAAAATACCAAAAAAAAAAAAAAAAAAAAAAAGAAAAAAGGCCAGGCATGGTAGCCCATGCCTGTAATCCCAGCTACTCAGGAGACTGAGGCAGGAGAATCGCTTGAACCTGGGAAGTGGAGGTTGCAGGGAGCCGAGATAGCACCACTGCACTCCAGCCTGGGCAACAGAGCAAGACTCTGTCTCTAAATAATTAAACATGAAAATCTAGAGAGGCAAGAATTGGCACAACTTCTTTCCCGGAGGTATTGGCTGATTCTAGAAGAAGCATTTAAGGGGATAAGCCGTACTTCTTACTGCTCCAGGATATTAGGAGGACAAAAACTGAATACCAGTGCCTGCCAAGTCATAAAAGAGGGCTTAGGAAATTTCCGTGCTTTGGGCTGGGTCCCAAAAAAGCTGCACCATAGGAGTAAGAGCGAATCGAAAGTGCATCAACTCTCCCTCATACACAGGGAGTTCAGCACGGATTCAAACCATCCCAATTCCTGAAATCAGATTAAAATAATCCCTTAAATGCTTGGTGATAAACAAATGCTCCATGAAGGAGGAAAAAAACCCATCATAAGCCTCAAGTTCTACAGTTTTTCAAATGCAGTCTTCACAAGAGAAAAGAAAAATAACCAGACACTTCTACAGCAGAGCAACACTCATTGAGAACAACAAGCAACTTTGGATAAAATTGCTTAAAACCTGTGTTTGAAGCCATTGAAGAAATTTCAGCTAAACAGGACTCTAGAAGACAAAATACCAGAGAGAAGGTGTGCAGAGAAGAGTCAACGTAACAGGCTGAGATGCTATCCTTAGCCCTGATTTTAAAGCTGAGCTTTGGCTAGCGTCTGGGAACTTTGATTACCGGAATGTTCCCACCATTCCCTAACTGATAAGGGGGTTTACTCTGTAAATTATATAAACAACATGGTTTATGCTGAATTCCTGCTTTCCTTCTAGGAGTCTGGAATTGTGATTCGTGCTAGGCAGAGGGTGCCTATGTCACCAGCTTCCAATACAAACTTTGAGCAGTAAGACTCTTAAGGAGCATCCCTGGCAGACATTTCACACCTGTTGTCACAATTCAGTACTGAAGTAATTAACCACATCCTATGTGATTCCACAGGGAAAGGATTCTTGGAAGCTTGGGTCAGGCTTCCTCTAGACTTCACCCCATGTCCATTTCCCCTTTGCCGATTTTGCTTTGTAGTACTTTGCTCTAATAAATCATAGCCATGAGTATGACTGTATGTTGAGCCTTGTGAGTGCTTCTGTTGAATCACTGAACCTGGGATGCTGGCATGGTCTTGGGGACTCCCAATACAGAAGTATTTTAACGAGAGAAGTGAGCAGACATTCTGCAGCTACTTCTTCCTTTATGGAATTTGCCAAATCTGGGTAAAAGGCCCAAGAAGAGAGTTACTGCTAAGAATCAGAGAAGGAAACAAGTTATGGCAACCACACAGGACTGGAGAAACAAAAAGAATCAAGGCCTTTAAACCAGCCAGCACTTGGGAGAGCAGAGATCCTAATAAGACAGGAAGTTCAGAGAAGTGAGCCTGACACTTTCCTTGTTTTTCTCTTGAGTATTTGCTGAATTCTTGGATTGCTCAGAAAGGGGGATGGTTGGGGGCGGGGGGGGGGAAGCAGAAATTTACTGAAAGCCAGAAAAAAGATTTTTAGTTTTTTTGCATCATGGCATTGAGAGATAAAAATGTTATTTCAGGATCCTTCAAGAGGGAAAGGCCCTAGTACATATCCCAGGATCTCATTTAAGAACTCTGTGGAGATACAAACAGGAGAATCGGAGTAAATTATACCTTATAAAAATCATAACTTAGCTTCAAGTCAGCTGAATGATTGATTGAATTAATGCGGTTGGCCTGCCACCACTCTTTATCTTCCCACCAGGAATATATCACCCAGACACTATAAAATGTATCATATCTAATAGTTAACATTGTGTCAAAAATTACAAAGAATGTTAAAAATCTGAACTATGAGGGAAAGGCAATAAAAACATGCACAGATGACCCAGTTATTAGTATTATCAGAGACAGACTTAAAAAATAGCTTTGATTAATGAGTAAAGATGGAGAATTTCATGAGAATCAGAATCTAATTTAAAAATTCAAAATTCTAGAATTAATGCAAAACTTAATATATATATATTTATGCATATTGAAGAATGGATTAATCAAAAGAGATTGTCAGACTGGATTTTTTCTCAAAAGATCAAACTATATGGTGACTACAAGAGATATGCCTTGGATTCAAAGACACAAGACACCAATAAGTTTAAAATAAAAGGTTCCAAAGTGCTATACCATACAAACAGCAGCCATCTAAGAGAGTCAGAATGGCTACACTAATATCAGACCATTAGACTTTAAATCAAACAAACAAAAAATGTTATTAGAGATCAAGAGAGAAATTTTATAATGATGAAAATGTCAACTATACAAAAATGTAACAATTATGAACATACATGCACCTAACCCCAAAATACATGAAGCAAAAATTAACAGAATTGAAGGGAGAAACAGACAATTTGGTAGCAGTTGGAGATTTCAAGATTTTACTTTCAGTAATGGATATAATACCTAGGTAGGAGATAAAGATTTATCCCAATAATTCAAGGTTGATGAATTAGCTTCCTAGAACTGTTGTAACAAAACTCCACAAACTGTATGACTTAATACAACAGAATTTATTCTCTCATGGTTCTGAAGGCTGTGTGAAATCAAGGTATCAGCAGGAAAATATCCCCTTTAAGGCTCTAAAAAATAACTTCTGGTGGCTCCTGGCAGGTCTTGGCTTGTAGCTGCATCACTCCAATGTCTACTTCTGTTGTCATAGGGCTTTCTTTCCTGTGTATTTTCATATGACCTTTTTATAAGAACGCCAGTTATTGGATTTAGGGTTCACTGTAATCCATTATGACTCCAACTTAGCTAATTACATCTGCAAAGATTCTATTTCCAAATAAGGTGAAATTCTGAGGTTTTAGGCCACCGTGTTTTGGGGGGTTATTCAATCCCATACAGTCGTCCCTGTGGCTCCCCAAAATTCACATTCATCCCACATACGTTTACCCAATCTCAGTGTTCTCCAAAGTCTTAGCCATTCCAGCATCACTTATAAGTTCAAAATCTCATCTAAATATCATCAACTAAAAAAGTCCTAAATCTCATATCAAAATTAGGTATTAGTGAGAATCTGGGTATGGTTCATCCTGGGGAAAATTTTTCATCTGTGGACCTGGGAAACCAGAAAGTAAGGTATCTGCTTCCAAAATACAATGCTGGGACAAACATAAGACAGACATTTCTAATCAAAAAGGGAGAAATTTGAAGGAATAAAGGGGCCTCTGATACCCAACAGGTTTCCTGATTCCATTAAGATTCAAGATCTAAGAATAATTCTCTGTGACTTGATGCTCCGTCTTCTGGGCTGCAGCAATAATGACCCCATCTACTGCATCCATGACTCAGTCCTTGGAGTCAGCCTTCTTTCATTTTACCCCATCTTTACTCCTTTTAGTACAGGCTGGCAGTGTTCCTACTGGCATAAAATCCTCAAAAACCTATCTGTTTCCTATGCAGCTCATTCAAGCCATTAGACAAAGGGGTCTTCCATACATTTTTTTCCTAGATAACTCCACCTCTATTTGTGGCTTCTGATAAGATGGTTGATTGTATTTGTAAGTCACATATCTCATCAATAAACTTTTGTCCAGCCACGCCTTTGGTGTTCTCTCCAGACCATATTTTCTCCTCTTTTGCTATCTAGATAGGCTGATAATTTTTTTCAGGCAGCAAGTGCTGGTTCCTTTCACGTAATAGTTCCCTTCTCAATTTATCTCACACCTCTTGCATTTTACTGTAAGAAGCAAGGAGAAATAAGATCATATCTTCCACACTTTGCTTGCAAATGTTCACTAAATCTCCAAGTTTATATCTTGCAATTTTTACTTTCCATCCAAAACTAGAACACAATTCAGCCAACTCTATTGCCACTTTATAACAGTAATCACCTTTCCTCCACTTTTTCAATCATATATTTCAATTCCTTCTGACCTCACCAGAAACAGCTTCGATGTTCACGTTTTTACCATCAATCTAATCATGATGACATATGTGTTATCTAAATGATAGAAGCTCTACTATTCTCTTCTTTTCCTTCTGAGCCCTCACCAAAATCACTTTTAATGCCCATATTTCCACCAGCAAACTTTTTAAAGCAATTGAGGTTTTCTATCGTGTATCTCAAAATTATTTCAGCCTCTACCCATTAACCAATTCCAAAGTCACTTCCACAGTTTCAGATATTGTTATGGCAGCACCCCATGCCCTGGTACCAAAATCTATATTAGTTTCCTATTGCTACTGTAAGAAATTACCTCCAACTATGTGGCTTAAAACAACAGAAATTTATTCTCTCACAGGTCTGGAGGCTAAAAGCCTGAATTCAAGGCCTGTGCTCCCTTTGAAGAGTCTAGAAGTCTCACCACTTCTAGTGGTGACAGGCTGTTGTTTTATTTTATTTTATTTTTTGGCATTCCTTGTCTTCTAGCTGCCTCATTCCATTCTCTGTCTCTGTCATTACATGGCCTTCTTTCATGTGTGTCTTCATGTGGCCTTAAAAGGGTACTAGTCATTGGATTTGGGGCTTATCTTAATCCTATATGACTTCATCCTAATTTCATTTGCAGAGACACTATTTCCAAGTAAGATTATATTCTGAGATTCAGTCTTTCACATTATGATGCAAACTGTGGGTTTATCTCACATGTTCTTTATCAGATTGAGGAAGTTGCTTGATATTTGTAGTTTGTTGAATGTTTTAAAAATCATCATGAATGAATGATGAATTTGTCAAATGTTTTCTCTGTAAGTATTGAGATGAACATGTAGTTTTTGTCATTTATTCTATTAATGTGGGGTAGTACATTAATTTATTTTTTGAATGATAAACCAACCTTGCATTCCTGGAGTGAAGCCCACTTGGTAATAGTGTAAAATTCTTTACACCATAAAAATTCTTTTTATGTTTCTTTGATTATTTGATTTGCTAGTATTTTGTTGAGGAGTTTTACATCTCTACTCATGAGGAATATTACTCTGTATTTTTATTTTCTTATGATGTTTTTTCTGGCCTTGTGTCAGGGTAATAGTGGCTTCCAATAATGAGTTCCCCCCTCTTTTATTTTTTGGAAGAAATTGTGGAATATTGGTATGAATTATTCTTTAAATGTTTGGCAGAATTCACCAGGGAAACCACTAGGCCTCCAATCACAGTATTTTCTTTGTGTAAAATTTTTTGATTACTAGTTTATCTCTTTACTTTTATAGGTCTGTTCTGATTTTCTGTTTCTTCTTCTTCTTCTTCTTCTTTTTTTTTTTTTTTTTTTTTTTTTTGAGACAGAGTCTGGCTCTGTCATCCAGGTTAGAGTACAGTGGCGTTATCTCTGCTCATTGCAACTTTCACCCCCTGGGTTCAAGCAGTTCTCATGCCTCAGCCTCCCAAGTAGCTGGGATTACAGGCATGCACCGCCGCACTGGCTAATTTATGGGGTTTTTTTGTTGTTGTTGTTTTCTTTTCATTAAAGTCAAGATTTTACCATGTTGGCCAGGCTGATCTTGAACTCCTGACCTCAAGTGATCCGCCTGCCTGGGCCTCCCAAAGTGCTGTGATTACGGGCATGAGCCACCATACTTGGCCTTCTATTTCTTTTTAAATCATTTTTGGTAGTTTGTACCTTCTAGTAACTTGTCCATTTCATCTAGGTTATCCAATGTTTTGGCATACAGTTGTTTATAGTATTTCCATGTAATCATTTTATTTGATTCCTAAATTTCCTTTATTTGGTAAGCCAGTTGTAATGCCCCCTATTTTACTTCTAATTTGTGCAACCTAAGTCTTGTCTTAATCTTTTTCAGTCTAGCTGAAGGTTTGTCAATTTTACTGATTTTTTTGAAACATAAACTTCTTTTTATTTTCTCTCTTGTTTTTCTATTTGCTGTTTCTTTAATTTCTGCTCTAATTCTTACTATTTCCTTCCTCTTGCTTTGAGTTTGGTTCTCGTCTTTTTACAGTGTACTTAATATGGAAGATTAGGTTATTGATTTGAGATATTTCTTCTTTTTTAACATAGGAAGTTACATCTATAAATTTCCCTCTTAGTACTGCTTTAGCTTTGTCCAACAAGTTTGGGTGTGTTGTATTTTCATTTTCATTCATCTAAAAG